GGATTTTTAGGAGTGAGCAAGAGACTATATTTGGCCAAAAAATTCTGCTGGCTTTCCTTAGCCAATCTGCACATTCAAAACAATACTTCTTTATCAAAAAAACAATAGTCTGTTTTATTCACAGCACATGTAGAAGTTGGAACATCGACTAAATTCCACTTTCTTCTCTCTCAGTGTGTCTGTAACCAGCTAATGAGCTGCAACAGAGCCTGGCCTTCATTTTCAGCAAATTAAGTTCATCCCTCATAGGAATTGTGGTCTGGCTGTGGCACCGCTCCTAGGTATGGGTGGGATTTGTTTCTTCTACCAGTTGTAGGTTAGCCACATGGGTACGTGCTGTCGCACCACACAACAACATTTTCTCTATAATAACCAGTCTAAGTAGCCTTTTACCCCACAAAAGTAGATCCCATTTAATTTACTTTGTGTTTATAGCACTCCCTCTCAAACCGCACCATTGGCACAGACTAATATTTATACAACTTTTTATTTTAAACTATTTATTTGGAGTTGAGACTTCAGTAGCACTCCCTGTCAGATTCATTGAGCATGCTTAAATTCAGGATACTGAAAATGTAAATTGGGAAGAGTGATGTATGTTCTTGGGATTCTTTTCTCCCGTGCATGGACACCCACACAACTCTCACTGTAGTAAAGGGAGGTTACACATGTGTTGATAACATTCATATTACTGCTGGTAGGAAACTGAACATTGATGGGTGATTTTAAGAGATTGCTTTTGCCTATTGTGTTTCCACATTTCTTTGCCAATATAGTTGGTGAAATTAGTTATGCATCATGGATCTAAAAACCTCTCATCCAAAAGTGTCAATGTTGTAAAAGATTTCTTTTCATACACAAAGAAATGTTACTTTACTCCATTATTTTAATGGAAGTCGTTAGTCAAATACACTTTTGCCACAGAAAGAAAGGGAAAAATATTCTTAATTTTGTATCTGACCTCTGCTTTGGGGCCTTACTTTAGGTTACATTTTCCTTAAATAAGGCTTTTCTGTTTTTTGAAGTGAATGATGGGATGTTAACTTTAAATGGACATTTAACCACATAAAATATAGTGGCCAATGGTTCATTTTTCTACTCAGGGTAGACACTTTATTCAGTTAATGATATTTAAACCTCATTTTCTATGAGATCTGTCTGTTGTTCTTAAATCTGATACTATTTTGTGATTTAAAATGAGTGTTGGGTTAACTTTGTTTACAAGTAAGGTATTTATCAGACCTTTGATTCTCTTTTACTTTCTTCTTTTGGTGAACATCTATCCATTTCCAAGACCCACTTATATGTTATCTCACCAAGGAAATTTTTTCCATCTTCCCAAAGGAGAACAGAACCCCATTGTATTGGAATAAGTTTTTTGAGATATGAACCAAAGCTGCTGTCTTCCTAATATTCTTATAACCTCTGCCCCGCCTCTGCATTCAGGAAACCAGAATAACTTAGAGAGGGACAGCAAAGGAAAACAAAAGACAATAAAGGAATCGATGTCTTTGTTTTGTAACTCAAAGTTAAAGTTCAAAATTAGAAAACAGATTTGAAGGCATAACGGGTCAATTTCTGTTGTGCCTTCCGAAGAAGAGAGTTGAGAAAGAAAGAAGAGGGCTTAGATGCTTTTGGGTATCTGCAAAAAGACCCAGACAATGCCTGGAATAGTAAAGAAGCAGAGAACTTTCAGGGAGTAAGGGAACAGTCTCTAAGATGAAGCAGGACCTGGGGAAGTCTTGCTTCTCCGCTGAGGAAGATGGACCTAGACCAGTGCAGAAGGGATGGCAGCTTCCCCGTAGAGCAGTGAGGACAGATGATGACATGAAGACTGGACTGCTCATTCTCACCTTCCCTTCATAATCCCTGGCACTTTTTAAGCTCCTTGGAAATTAGAGACAATCCAGGAGAAAGGGGGATAGAAGGAGACCTTATTTCTGTTACAATGTGAATGGGAGCTTCAAATTGAAAATAAAATGTTATGGAAAAAGTGAAATTATATATATATATGTATATATATATATATATATTGCACATCTTAGCTTGGTGGCTTCAGGTTTCTGTACATCAAAGGAAGTCATTGTGCCTTTCTCATTGTCATACTCTGGTATTGGAGACTGTGCAACATATATAGTAGGTATGCAATAAACAGCTGTTAACAGAATGAATCAATACTTTGTAGAGTACTGCCAACTACTCCGGAGCTTTGATCTGGCTCCTCTGGGAAAAAAAAGAAAAAAGAGTCCTGCTTTATTTGTGTCTGTTGCATGCCAGCTTGGCCTGTTTACTCCTGTGGTTTCCTGTATTCCAAAACAATGCAACGTTGCTTGAAATTACACTTGAGCATTTTCTAGAGCATTTCTTCTGTCCATCCTACTTGCAGTGACTCCACTTCAGTTCCTTGTATGCCAGCTGCTGCAATAGCTTGCTGTCACTAAACATGTACATGTGTCCACCCCAGAGGAATTAAGTGGGACCACATCAATGCTAGGGAACTGGCTGTCTTCCAGAACTGCACTCTGGGTCATTCTGTCTTGTGCTTCGGTGAAGTCTTTTCCCCCATTGCCTTCCAGTGTGGAGAGGGATAGGGCACAGTCTACAAAGCAGAAACAGAATGCCCAGTGTGTGGGTGGAAAACTTCCCCTTTCCCTCGTGAGTAGAGGAGACCGATTCAGAGAATGTTCCACTTATTCATGCCCTTCTAGTGTAATTTTTCCTCAATAGTTTCTCTTTCTGTCACCTATAAACCAGAGGGGATAGCCACTGGCATACTGCGTTGTGTAGAATGAGGGGGACTGTTCTGTTTCCTCCTTCAGCTCTTGTAAAGCACCTGCCATTTCCCTGACGCACCATTTAAACTTCAGTGTTCACATCTTGTAAGTCAAACTTGTGTCATCCAAAAGGTTCTCATACACATTCAAATGTTAATAAATGCCAATATCTTGTTCATGACCTTACACATAGGTCTGAAATATTTAAGAAAATGTAAACTACACTCCTTTTTACCTCCACTCTTCTCTCATATATCGGTTCATATATTTCTTGTTTCAAGTAGCAGAGAACCCAATTCCCACAGACTTAATGGGCATGTAGTGGCCTTGTAACTGGAAGGTGGTGTGGTGTAGGTGGCTCTGTTGTGTCAAGAAAGCATGATTGTTTTTTGTCTCTTCACTCTGACTTCCAGGGCCTCCTTCACAGTCGCGAGATGAATTCCAGCAGCTGACACAAGGATTACCCTTTGCTTTTTGTTCGTATCCTATAGACACATGGTATGGTAACTACTAAGGGACCTTCCTTCTCAGAGCCCTCTGGAAATATATATATTATTTGAAATATATATACTATATAATGTATTAAATACAATATTTAATATATTATATATAATATATACATATTTATGTGTACATATATACACACACACACACACACACATGTTTTTTTTTGAGACAGAGTCTTGCTGTGTTGCCCAGGATGGAGTGCAGTGACACCATCTTGGCTCGCTGCAACCTGCATCTCCTGAGTTCAAAGGATTCTCTTGCCTCCGCCTCCCTAGTAGCTGTGATTACACGTGGCACCATACCTGGCATATTTTTGTATTTTTATTACAGACTCGGTTTCGTCATGTTGCTCAGGCTGGTCTCAAAGTCCTAGCCTCAAGCAATCCACCCGCCTCACTCCCCACAAAGTGCTGGGATTACGGATGTGAGCCATCATACCTGGCTTGGAAATATATGCTTAAGTCTTACCTGCCCAATTTTGAAGCACATACACATGCAATGAGTCACTCTTCTCCTTCAGCATTTATCACTTCTACTATCTCTTTGGGTAAAGTAGATAAAAGGGAATGAGGACACTATAACATATCAAATTGGGCCTGAATGAGATTGCAATGAAGAATATACCTCCAGTTTGCATTCCAGCCCAGGTGACAGTATGAGACTCTGTCTCAAAAAAAAAAAAAAAAAGAAAGAAAGAAAAGGAAAATACACCTCCAGTGACACAGGCTTCAGCTGCTTGCAATTAATCACTCTCAATTAATCAATCAATTGACGCCAATTGGGCTGTGAAAATAGTTGAGTGAAGCTGTGTTCAAGCTCTGACCTTACTCTTTACCAGATGTGTAATCCCGGTCAATTAATTTACCTTTTCAGAAACCTAGTTTTCTTGTTAAGATCAAATGAGATATTTGCAAAACCATACTAGTAACTTCTGCGTTCTCCAAAAGCCAAGCATTATTATTATTGCTTTTGCAAACGAAATCAGGAGATTGGTCTTCATTAGGAGTTACTTCCAGATCTACATTTATAGGTTTTACAGTGTATCAGTCATTAATTTTCTTAAATATCATATTAAGAAAATTATTTGGGAAGTATTTTTATTTATAGATGTTATAGTATTACTAATACATGAACTTTAAAAAATAATTAGAATTCTCAGCACATCCTAAGAAAAACTTTTTATTCCATAACTAATTTCAAATTTTTGAAACACAGATGTTAAGTGTAAAGTTAATTGTTTTACAATTTTGACTTAATGACCACGAAAAACAATACCCGCCTTTCCATTTGAACTGCCTTAAAACTCAGAGTTGAATTCAGACCTTAGCTGGAGAAAGGTCTATTTTAGATTCTTCTAATAGCTATCTCTTTGCTTTTTAAATTCATCTTTGTTCTCATTTACTTTCAACTGATTCATGCTATCTATGTATTTCAACATTTTGAGTAGCTTCATATTCTTTATGGAAATTACAAAAAGGAAAAAGAAAGATGTGAAGGTAGAAAAAAAATACAGGAGAAAGGAAAGAGTAGAGAGGGTCTTGGAGAAGGAATGACAAACTCTGGGCCGAGCAGTGGCTTGCAGACAAGAAGGAATCGATTCGAGACAGATGGTTGGAGAGAAGGTACTTACAGGTGCCAAAGAGAGGAGAAATAAGATTTGGACTGAAGGTCATGACAATGAGAAAGGAGATCAGGGGATAAGCTTAAGAACTTTTTCAGGTGAACAACAAAGAAGACTTGGAAACTCAGTGATCAGAGACTGGAAATGACGGTGATGGAAAGTGGAATATCAGTGATCCTGAACATTCAGACCTCACTGATCTCAGAAAAGGTACGAAGATGGGGTGGACCAGGACAGAGATGGTGCTAGCCAATTTATGGAAAGCCCTTAACTTTACATGAATAGTCTTATTTAACTCCCCAGATAACCATTTGAGATAATTAGAATTCCTCTTTGCAGATGAGTAAATTTTAAAAGAGCAGGGATTTTGTTGTTGTTGTTTTTTGAACTGGTAATCCTGACTTATACAGACATGACAAACTCCAAAAGGAAACCCAAGCAGCTATTTGACTCACTTATGAAGTCACCCAGTATGGATGATTCAGGTAAAAAACAATTACTCCTCTTTCCTCATCAGATATCATGTTGTGATCTTGCATGTGTATAAGAATCTGTGTTTGGAGAAGGAATTATTTTTACTGCAGAAAGTTTCTTCTTTGTGTTGATTATGTAACATTAACTTCACTCATATAGCAACTTGGATGTGCCTGGAAAATAGCTCCATTATTTTGTCTATAACTATTCTGGTTCTCTTATAAATATAGAGTCCTATGCATTTTAAAATTCAGTCCAATCCAATAATTAAAACCATCCCTTTAGGTAATGCTGTCTCTTTTGGAAAACGTGCCTAGTCTCCCAGATTTTTCAGCCTTCTGTCCACTTCCAGGCACCCCTTCAAGTGTCTGGGTGCTTTCACAGTCTGGGAGTGGTAGGGAAGAGCTGGTATTCTTTGGTGCAGAGACCTATTGATCCTCTGGTTTTCGGGGTGCTGTCCTTGTCTATTGCCTTGCTGGCACTCATAGCTGATCTAGGCACCATTTGTGTTAACTTGGTCAACTCCCCCTCCCCTTGGCTTTGGTTGGTGCTACAGAACACTGTCTCTGCTTTATTCTCAAATGGCTCCTTGGTGGAAAGCTCAAACTGAGCCTCTGCCATGGAAGCACCTTGCCTGCCAGCTCTCAACTCAGCTGCTTTGTCAATTCTCTTGGGGCTTAGATGTGGGGTTTTGTAGAAATTCCTAGTCTCTATCCAGGCCACACTGAAACTCAGAGGAGTCTAGAAAGCCATTCCTCAAGGTTAATAGATGAGTTCTCAGCAAGGACAGCTGCAGAAGGTTGCATTCTAGAGTCAGCTATGGAATTTGGGATTGCTTTTCCCTTGAGCTTCCCAGCACACAACTACTAAGAAAAAAGAAAGCCAGAAAGGGAAATTGAAATGCAGTCTCAGATTGCTTTCCACCTTCTACCATTCTCAGCCTCCAGAAACAGAAGGGATGGGCTTAGCTCTCCTTTAACTTTATACTGAGCCCTTGTACATAGAGCAACAAGCCTCGTGACCTAGAGAGTTCATAGGTGGATGGCATCCTCTCTTTATAATGAGAGTTCTGATTGAGTCCTTTAGGCTTAGTTTTGAAATTTTAAGTAGATTCTAAAAGAATTTAGCAAATCCATTCACTCTCCCCAAAGCCTTGCTTTCAAGCTAAATTCTTATTCTTTCCTGACCTAAAGGAGTAAGTTTTCTGGCTTGGCCTTGAAGATGAGACCAAAAAGAAATGTGATTTAGGGAATGTCATGAAATATATTGTCATTATTTGCACAATACTGTTTCTGGTACAGTTACATAAACACAGTTAAAAGTCCAGATATCTATGTAGCTGAATGTGCAGTTTGCACTTTCTAGCTTCTGGTAAAATTAACATGAGAATCACTTTCTAATCAATTTTGTCTAGCAAGTAGAAGCGGTGGAGAGCTGGTTTTATTGTAAGCAAAAGGTTGATAAGAATTTAGTAGATTATATTTAGTATACAGCCTATAAAAAAGAGAAATAATTACAGCCATAGTGACAAAAAACAGGCAAACACTTCTTTTATCAACAACGAATTAACAAAAAAGGTGACTTTTACAGTGTAATGTTCCTGAGGAGTTTTTAAACTGACAGTTTTAGAGATTGTTTTCTAAGTGTTTTGTCAGAAGAAAAAGCTTCAATAATTTTTATTTTTTGAGTGCTACAGTGTAGTTTTGTTTTATGTGATAGCAAAATAAATTCACTTCTGTTTTACTTTATTTTTTCTCATTCTATTTCACCATCTGTAGTAGGCCTGGTCAGATAGAGGTGAAAATTAAGTTACAGTAACATAAAAAGTATACCTAGAAAATCATGTGAATTCTTTAATGAAGGTTCTTCATTTACTTTACTTGAAGAAATATTTCCTTCGTGGTGCAGACGGAAAATCAGAAGTATTGAATTAAATATTTGTAAAAGAATAGTGAATTACCCACTGTTGCATTGCATTATATATCTTAGTCTTGGTATTCTGTTCTAATTACAAGGTAACATTTCTCCCAAATTCCAAGTTTACATTAAAAATAAAACACATATAATGGCCACAACTCCTAAAATATTCTCCGAAATTATGGGCACATTTATTCATGTTAACATGAAGTTTGCATTTTAATGTAGAGGATGGCGCTGTGGATTGCTTTTGCGAATAATTTCATTTAAGGACAGTTTGACTTTGTAAGAACAGATAAAACCAAAGCCAATTATAACATGAACTCTTCTCTCCTGTATGCATGGAACAGCATAAACAGAGAAGCTTGTTCTTTACTGCACTTGTCAAATCTTACTGTTTAAAAGTCTTAAAATTCAAATATATATTTATATCAATAAAAATTATACATAATGGATGGAATGCTTATAGCTATACTCTTTATTTCCCCCTTCAATCATTATGAGTATTTATCACTCATACAAAAGTATACATCTGTAACTTCTTTAGTTTCGTTTCTTGAGAGATGCCAGTTCCTCCCTTCTTTCGTATGAACCTAGAAGTGCAGATGTAATATAATATTCTCATCCATGTAATATTATTACAGGATTTTTTTCTGTTGTTTCTGGTGGCTTAATGGCAAAAATGAAATTTTTAAGATGATTTTAAAATTTCTTCTTCAAGTAGTAATTTCGGCAACACTTCTGAAGTGTAATTTGACTTGGGGAATTTGGTATATATTTGAATAGTGGGCAGAGGCTTATTAAAATTATATTTACATATGATATGATACTTAGAAATATTTTAATTTCAGGGCTATACTTTTTCATGATTTCTGGAAATTTTCGTTTTTGGAAAAGAGAATTTTGCTGACTTAGGCACACCATAGTAATTATTGCTTTTAATGTAAAATATGGCTTAAACCTGATCTTTCTAGTAACTATACCAAGACACCAAGGATGTTCTTTAACTCTCCTTTGCCCTCTGGAGATAATATACAATTTAGTATCTAAAACTATAATTATGCATCATTGTCAATATTTTTTTTCTTAAATATATGAAGAAGCATACGTTTTTCAGATAGTTATGCTTTACTTTGTAAAGTTTCTTCTTAAAAGCAACAGAAAAATCAAAATGTGACAATGGAAAAGAACTCCTTCTTTAAAACTATTATTCTCTGGTGGGATGGGGGGCTAAGAGGGAATTAGTTAACATGATTTTTAATTTGTCTCAAGGCTTGTGGAAAGAAACTGGCTTTCTAGAATGTACATGGTTGAGTATCGTACAGAAATAAATATCTCCCCCTTGGAATTTAAATTGTATCTAGTAGTACTATTTTTATACCTCTTACTAGGAAACGAAATACCTCTAAATTTAGTGCTTTGGAATTTTATTTCCACTAAAAATTTCTTCAGATATGTGAGCACCATAGTAACAGCTTTGCGAGCTGGTTCTTCATTACAGTTCCCCGATAAGAGCTTCACTCAAGACAGTTCCTTTGGGATGACTGAGACTAAAAATCAATTCTGATAACATTAGAACAAATTTAAAGACAAAAAAAAAAAGAAAGAAAATCAGAGAAAGCATGCTTGCTGTGGATAAATAGAGCTTCCCTTAAAAATTATTTTTTCAGTCAAAAATCTAAAATGTCTTTTCTCAAAACTTTTTTATTTCTTGTATTATTTTTATACCTAGGTAGGATTTTTCTCACCTTTGGAAAAAATAAATCTCTTACCAGAGATATGAAAAATTCAGCTGAATTTATTTATGGCCTTGGTAAAGGTCTTTTCATGCTCTACAATGGCAATATTTTTACAAAACCAACAGGTAAGTAATATGGGTGTGGAGAGATGAATGCAATGAATCTATTTTAATAAAAAGTTAATAATTCATTATTTTCAAGAAAATCATTGCATTTAAAAAAAACCGTGTAGTACACTAGACTGAGCTCTGATCATCTTAAAAAGAAATCTGTCAAAATAAATCAGGTTGATAACTGATTAGCAGAACGTGTAGTCTGTCATTTTAAAATATGTGCCCAATTTCTTCACATAAATCTTACCTTTAAAATCTTCAAGGGGAAAATTTATTTTGGGCACATTGGCCATGAATATCAGTTGACATTTATACAGTGCACAGAATTTATACTGTGGGTTAGGATGTTGGCCATAATTCTAGGCTGATAGTTTGTAAAGGGAAGATTCCATTTTGTACTGTTTATAAAATGTTACTCTGCAGTTCCGTGCTCCAAGACTAACAAAGTCTATCCAAGTATAGTCAAGCACTGCAGTTTAACTTATTGCATTCATTAAACTAGGCTTAGATTGTCCTAATTATATGTTATCAACAATTAAGAAATGGATCACATGCCATAGACTGGCTAAAACATTCTGTATTCTTGGCTGGATGCCAGTGGAGGTGTCAAGTTCCATTCTACCTTGTCATCAGCTGCATCTCTGCTTTTGCAGTACAAGCAGCAGCTGTGCTAGACAAAATAATCTAAATTCTCACATGCACTTTTCCTTTAGGAAACAGCTCACACTGAATTGCATTTCTGGTGTGAATAGTACTACACCTGAGTGAGTTTGTGCTGAAACGTATTTTATGCAAATAATTTTAACTGATATAATCTTTCATGACTTTTAAATGTGTTTGTTCTATCAAAATAATGGTCTTACTTTTCATGCTGAAATTATTACCAAATGGATTCTGTGGGCAGCAAAGTACTCTGCTCATTCGGCAATGATTTTCCTATACCTCAAATTACATAATTTTATAGGTGCTCTGTTTCAAAGGAAAACAATCTTTACTGATCCAAGTAGTCAAAATTAATCATGGATCTCTGATCTCAAAACTCCTGGCAAAATCCTTTTATTTAGAACACCCATATACTAGACGCTCAACACTTCACAAATCCTTGTGGGACGATGGGTTTTTCAGTCTAATTGTTCAATCAAGTGCAGCTTCTGAAAGTGGAGATTCAGCAAGGCTTTCCCCTGAGCAGAGGCAGGCTCAGCCAATTTTATGAGTAGCTAAATTTGACCTGGCTTTTGCTTTACATTGTCATCTTTGTTCTTGGTAATGTAAAAATGGGTTTTAGAAGTTGTTCTCCTTTCCATGTGTCTGACAGAGGGAAGATCCTTCCACAACAGCAAGTGTGTATTGCAGCAGGATCTGAGAGTCTTGGTGCCAGGGCACCATGCTAAGTAAATAGACCACAACAGCTGGGTCTCCTTTGCTCCTGGAATAGATCTTCTACTACACAACCATGGAAAGCTAGTCCGCATGAGAGGCAGTGACTTTAAAGTTCACCGGAGGGCTTACATATGTGTTGACATGCATTTTCGGGTCACCAATTTACTTGGTTGTTAAAAGCTTTACTGCATCATATATGAACCAAAGTGGAGGGGTCACGCCAAGTCCTTACTCAGAAGGAGAAGATAATGGAAGAGATGCAGAACACCCAGGCAAGGTCTCTACTTTATATACAGCTTGTCCTAGGCCATTTTGTAATGGCATCTGCTGTGACCATGTCTTACTGCGTCATTTAACTTTTCAAATTTTGCTTCACATTCAGAAATTCTTGTGGTACTGTGCAACTCACAGAAATATGACAATAAATTCCTTCACCAAAACTAACTTCCTGGAAATAATAATTTTCTTTGATTTCACAAAAGATTTTTTTTCTTTGTCTTTCAGTAGATGATCTATCTAGGGATGCCAGCAAGTGCTCTCAAGAGAAAATGTATTCTGTTTCATCCAGGTAATATATCAACCGCTCTGCTCACAAGCCAGCCAATCAAATACTATAGTCCTATCATTTATATACATCCCCTCTCTCTCTCTCTCTTTGTCTCTGTCTCCCTCCCTCCCTTACCCCTCTGTGCTGTCTGCTGTCATCTCTCTGCACTTAGGTTAATACTATGCACTAGGCTATAAGAAATGCAATTCTAAATAATCAGTTCTTCTGGCCATTGGACAACACAATCTTGGTGCAATAATACATTAGTAGTGGGGTTTGCCCATTGGGTAATAATTTATCTTAGCACACGGACTGTGTCTGCCCCTAGTAATTGCTTAGTGACTCTTTGCTGGCTAAAGACTCTCATTTGACTTGCTTTCTTTTTATATAACCTATTTATCTTGGTGCATCTTTCACTCTGCTTGTGATTTTTGACGTTTGGGGGAGTTTCCCAAGAGATGATCAGCATTTGGTTGAGGGGATGATTAAAATTCCCTTCCCCTTCAGATTATTTTTCTTCTTTTTTTATTGTTAGAAATAACTTTTTCAACAAGGAACTTTTCAATTATCTACTGCCTATCTTATATCTTTATTTAAGCTTTTGAAACAGACTGTTTTGCTCTCCTTTGTCAGCTTTTTCTCTCCTCTTACTCTCCTTTATGTTACCATTTAGGTTCAGGCTAAATTGCTGGGACAGCTGCTTTCTTTGACCTCCTCTCGACTTTGCTGACCACATCACCAACTGGCAGGGTGTGGTGCCTTAAGACCTTCCAAGAGACTTGCTTCCAAATGGAAATAATGGAGTAACATTTTGTATGATCAAACATGAGAGAATTCCAGTAATTTTCAGCATTTTAAGGTACATTCAGCATATTGCTCAAATGATTATTAAAATTCTGAATCTGAAAAGCAGTCGGTCCCACATCGAAACTGCTTGTAAAATACATGATTCAGATGGTGGTCATTGGTTAATAATAGCAACAGAGGAAGCCCTGGGAGCCATCTAGTAGGGAACCCCTCTTCTTCCAGAAAGTAATACACCAAAGCTATTCTCTGTAGAAGACTGTTTTGTCTTTTCTTAGGAAATGGAAAGAAAAGAATTTTTATTATATTCCTGTCTATTGTCTTATGGCTTTGATAGCTATTGAATTATTTGAACTAAATCCTATTATTTGTATTAGCCCCTTCTTTCTCAAACACACATACTTACAAATATACACACATGTTCACAATATAGTGGGGAAAACAAGCTTTCTTGTCGATCTGTATCATTAGGAGGAAAATTATTTTTTCTGATCATAGGAGTACAGGTTTGTTTTTATTTCAAAATACTTAGAACTAGAACCAAAGTAGAGTTTGTTAGTGCCAAGAAGCATTTCTCTTTCTTGAATCAAGAGCCCAGTGCATCATTTTTGCCACTTTCATTCTTTTATTTCATCAGCAACCTTCTTTTCAGCTACCATGCAGCAAAAAATGTTTGCAAGTAGCGTCTGGTGCTTCCATGAGGTATGCCTGGCTGCTCAGGGGGAATGCATGGGACAGAGGGAGGCTCTTTTCTACTCTGTAGCCGGCAGGACAAATCACTGACATCCTCTTAGATATTAGAGGGGAATATCCTGAGCTATTCTGGAATCTCAAAAGGACTAACAAAGTTCATTCCATTTGTCATTGAAATGTGACAGTGATGTAGAACAAAACCTTTCCGCAGTGGGGGCTGGCTGCACCGAATTCCTTTTGCAACAAGGAAATTAGGTCAGAAGAAATTTAGGTCAACACCTTACAGAGATGTCCCCATGCCTGAAAGGAGCCAGGAGAACTTAAAACATTCCACACAGAAAGGTTATTGTTTTTATATTTAATTTGAAAAATGGTACCTTCCAAAGCTTAGTGTCATATAAATTCAGCTATGAATCAGCAAAGAAAATTACCGTTTGCATCACTAGCACTGCTTCTGATAAATCCAGGCACGATCCTAAGGTGCTTCTAACCAAGCCCAGCCGACCCAGTTTAATCATGCAATTCAAGACATATTTATCAACTCTTGATTATGTACAATTAAACTATTAGATAATGTAAAGGTTGTAAAGATTAATAAGTACCTCCTCCCACTAATCCCATCTTTGCCATAAGGAAGTTATAAGCTAAGGAGGAGGAGAAGATTATGGGGTAAATTAAAATGCAATATAGCCTATAAGTCATTGATTCATTTGTCATAGAGCAAATGAACTCCTACTGTATGCCGAAGACTATGGAAGTGATATACAAGAGTTAAAGTAAGTGATTCTGGATGGAGAAGAGAGAGATCAGGTTAGTTTGGGGTGGACAAAAAGGAATAATTTCTTTAAAAAAGGGCAGTTTAAATGAACTTTAAATGGATATAATTTCAAAAGATGGAGGTAGGTAAGAGGTCCCTGAGTGGAAGTGTTGGGAAGAGGGACACAGTGGGTGGGGATGCCTGGACAAGGGGAGGCAAAGAGACCCCATGGCTGAGAATGTTAGGAGGAGAGAAAAGCATGTGCAATGGCAAAGGGGTAGACAAGAATATGCTGTATTTGGGGAACAAATGATGACCCATGTTGATTATATTGACCACACAAGGCAGAAATTGAAGTGGTTAGAAAGGATAAGTCAGAATCCTATTTAGACATGCCTTGAATACCAGGCTGGAGAGTTGCATGAGTGCGGTGAGCCATCCTGTGGCTCCGTGGAAAGGATTCTGGTGACTTGGATGGCCCTTCCGACCAGTCAAGATGGCTGAATACAGGTTAGCAAAGTTATTCCATAAATCCTAAACCATTGTTCTGGAATGTCTTTAGATATGAAGTGACTTGATCAACATCTCTGCTGTCAGTATTGAATGTATATTTCTTAAGCGAAACAAGTGGAATTTTACTAAATCCGCTTTTTAAAGTATCCCAACTGAAGTCTAATTTGGCATTTGGCCAGTTTAAACAAAAAAATGAATGAGAAATATAAAAAATGAGTACGGTTTTTATTTTCATTGGTTATGTGACCACCTTCTCACTACATACATCAGTTAGCAAAGTCTGCTTTCAACTGTGGAAATTTCATTATCACATCTAATTCTGGTTTGGTAGCACATTAAACTTTCAAACAGTTAATGACTCTGGTTTTCTTTCTGTTCAGCTTTACCTTTCATAAAGCACCGGCAAGAGGAAAGAAATGACAGTAAGACTGAATTATGAACTTTAAAAAGTTGAGAACAAGTAACTACTTGTACTGTGAAAGCTGCTCTCTCTGCTCTTGATTAACTGTCTGCAATAGGTCAGTGGTGAGCACTGTGTACCGTGGCGATGATTGTTGCAGCAGACAGGCAGAGTAAATCACAGAGATGGGAGGGGGACCCAAAGGGAGGAATTTCTTTTAGCCTCCTATTTAACGCATAGAGATTACTGAAACTCTGCTTTCATAAAATGGCTCGTTTCACAGACTTATTTCCAATATCTTCCATAGATCACAATTTTAACAAAAAACAAAACAGCATTTGTAGTGAAGAATAGATTAGTGTTTGCTTACCTTGAAGTGCTTTGGAAATTGGTGAGTGAGGACTTTTTGAATAAGATTTTGATCCCAGAAATTTGTAGGTGGGGAGCAGGGAGAGGTTGTGTGTCTATGTGTATGTACATATAATCTACTTGTAATATATGTGTATATATATGCAGAGTTTCATATATAACACACATATTTACACACACATGCACATTCACAATTTACTTATTGATGGGAATATCAGGAAGGAAGAAAGAAAGATTAGCTGATCTCTTGCCACATTTTCTCCATTGAGGTTGGTTCTAATATCCATCCATTTTAGATGAATTTGAGGTTCAGAGAAGTTCAACAAATTAAATAAATAAATAATTTAGTTACATAACCCCTGCCTTCCTCTCTTTATTCTCCTTCTAGTGTTGTATCAAAAAGTATCAAAATGGTTTTCAAAAGAAATACAAGAAAGTAAGTAAAAATGACTTAAATTTTTTAAAAAGATGTTACCTAGCCAAAATGAAGACCAGAGAAGAAAGAACACACTATGAGGCTGGATGTGAATTTAATGGCAAAGATGACTCTCAGTTTCTTAGCAGCCAAGCCAAAGAAACAAAAGTGAACAATACACAAACGAGTTACTCGGAATTACCTCCAAACAACATCATAGTTTTATATGGCTTGTTTCTTACGATGCCCTTTGTCTATGATGTTTGGTACAGCTTAGTGATGGCTTAGCTCAATTTCTCATTTTATCATTATAATCTCATACATGTTTATGCATGGTGCACACATGGACTCCTTGGCACAAAGAAACAAAATGTTGAGGAAGGAGTCCACACCTCAGGCTATATTCATCCTCACTGGAGAAATAAGCTGTCGTCGTTAAGAAGTAACTGTCGAGTAAGGGGGCTGATCTGGCAGACTATAGAGAATCCTTACACCATAGTCATGCCATGGTCATGTATGTGCATGTTAGTGTGCCTATGCATGTGTCTTACAACACCCTGTTATATGTCTGTGTCTTACTTTGCCATCTATTTATTATTCTTAGTGTTGCTCATGAAGAAGTCTTTCTATATACCTTCAAATGACAATTATTTCACAACTCTATAGCGTTTTCATCTAGACCTTTACATGTTCTGAGAATGGAGTCTATGCCATCGGGAACATTTGTAATCGTAAATCCATGCCTTTTTGTGCATTGGTTAGGTAGATGACTCATAAAGATGAGGGTTGTCAAGAAGAGTTTGAAGATTAAAGATCTGCTAGACAAAGTAGAAAACTAAGGAACCTGATGCTGGCTCCACAAGTTCTCACACTTGTTTTTAGTTTGACCAAAAAAAAAAAAAAGTAGGCTTCAAGTTCATTTTATTTGATTGTGTGCAATAGTGTTCCAAGAAAATATAAGATTACTTTCTCTCCTGTTTGCTTTGATATATATACTCTGTGGGGAATAATAATTATAGAAAAAAAGTTGTTCTTCTTTATTAAATCTAATTTAATATAAACTTGCTGTTTAGGAAAATACTAAAAATGAGTTTTACTAGCCTGATTTGTTTTTACAGAAATACTATCAACTGAATAGAAGTGAAAGAGAAATCAAAATATTCTTACATCCATTCTGAATCTAACGTTCTCCAGTATATCAGAGAATCAGGCTCCATAAAAACTGTTAAGCAAACTAGGTCACAGATAACAAGGTAGCAATTAAAATGACTATATCAATTATTTGGTTATTTCCTAATATTTCACTCTGTAGGATCTTTTATATAGGACCCTCATTTAGTACTCTACTATGAAGAGAAAACTTTTTTAACATAACATTATTTATAGAATCATTTAAAATATGATGAATGGGAAAAGAGCATTCATTAAAAACGTGGGGGGGGGGGCGGATTACCAGAGAGCTCTCATTTAGAAATATCTTCAACTAAAACGACTAAATTATAGTTGATGTGGTAAAGAAGAAATTTAATATGTTACCTAAAGAATATCATTTGGAATGCTTTAGTTTCTCTCCTCTCTGCTCTAGGAAATATGCTTCCTCCAATAGTGGGATTTCCTGCTACACTTTACATCAGTGCTTTTTCCATTGTTATTCCTTTCTTAAACCTAGATTAACCTATTAATTTAAAAACCTGGACCTTGTGCAATGTTCTAGGAAACCAAGCCTGCGCGACCAGAGACTTGCACAAATGATTTTATCGAGCCTGTTCTGTTTATTTAGCTGCTCTTATTTGATCCTTATAATTGAATTCTTAGACCCTCCCAAAAGACAAAACCATATACTTTGAATTGTACCATGCATTAAAATGGGTTGTTTACAGCTTTCTAGTGTTACTAAACCTCTAAACCTCTTTATGGCTTTTTGGGGCCAGTTCTCCTGAGATTATGTTTGGCTGAAGTCAATAGGAGCAGGGGTTTCAGACTACACCAAAGAGCTGAGTAAGATTCCACTGATTCAGCATCTGTCCTCGCTGCCCTAGGGTTCACTAGCATATATTTTCTAAAAAATAAGTATTAGGGAAAGCATATGTGGTCAGATCCCATGCTGCATGCTGGGAGATACGGGTTTGGTCCTTGCGCTTGGAGTGTTCACTTTTCTTTTGGGAAAGAGAACATGTACCCAGATCACTAGGATCTGAAGGGAGTGTGAGATGGTATAGGCACAGTGTGCAGACAGTGAAGAGGAAAAGCTCCTTACCTGGCTAGGGGATGGGTGTGTTGTGAGGTGGGCAGTCAGGGACAGTTTATAGTTCTACGGTTGAGATCATGCCTGAGTCTTTGTTTGTTTGTTTGTTTGTTTGTTTGTTTAGAGACAGCATCTCACTCTGCTGTCCAGCTTGGAGTGCAGTGGTGAGATCATAATTCACTGTAACCTCAAACTCCAGGGCTCATAAGATCCTGTTTCCTTAGCCTCGGGTAGCAAGGACAGACACAAGTGTGCCTGGATCTTAAAGGCTGTTACCAGGTTAGGGAAAGGAGGAGTTAAAAGTAGGGGGGGGAAGGGCATGCTAGTTGATGGGGATGCCAGGATAAAAAGTCAATCAGGGAGAACTCTTAAGTAAGTACAAGAAATACTTTCTTCTTCCACTATTAAGTTCCTTCATTTAAGAAAGAACCCAGTGAATTGTGAAACGTTAAGAAATATAGCCTTAATCTCTTTTAATTTTTTTTTTTTTGGTCTTTTCCATAGAAAAAAGAGAGGATGAGCTACATCATCATCAAGGTTTCTTCAGGGCTCTGATATTATATGCTTTATATTCGTACAAATTTATAAGGCATATGTGAAAATTTGTTACATGTATGTAATGCATAGCGATCAAGTTAAGGAATTTAGGGTGTATGTCTCCTGAGTACAAGACATTTTTGTTTAACTATAATCACTCTACTCTACTGTCAAGCACTGAATTTATTTCTTCTATCTAATTGTATATTTTTACTCTTTAACCCATCTCTCTTTGTCTTTCCCACTATGTATTTAATTAACCTGAGATAACAGACCCTTACACTGTTTGTATTAATATATGGATATTATCTTCAGGAAAACAATAGCATTGTTTATTTCTAGACATAATTTTGTAAATCAAAACATGAGAATAGTACACTTCTATTCCCTTTAGGTACTCTGATTAAAATCAGTTTTACTGCACAAAGATTTGGTTTCAGAGGAATTTCCCCGGAAAGCCTTTTTCCACACATCGAACTATGGTCCTACTGTCACATTCAGAGTTTGGGATCCTTTTAAAAACAGGAATAGAAGATTCAAACTTCTGTTACTACCAGTGAACGATAAATATCCTTTGAAATGACTTTACACATTTAGGCTATCATTACTATGCTACTTTTAAACTATGATAGTAATTGAAGCATTTTCATCATATGACTTTGCCCCAAAGTGTACCAAGTAGGAATTTGATTAACAGCAACCAGCCAACGAAAGCCTAAAGTTCCAGCGCTGGTGTGTTATTCCTTGTCTTCGATGTGCCTCAGTATCCTTCGACATTTCTGCTCCACAGTTGTGACAAAGGAAGTTCTGTACAAAATGTGACCATTTTAGGCAGAAAGAAAAGGGAGAGAGAAAGGGCAAATACATGTGCCAGCGGAATGAGTCTCACTCAACAGCCTCTGCTTACATTTATTGGTAGAACTTAGTCCTAGGGCTCACTACCTGTAAGGGAAGCTGGGAAATATAGTCTTTAGCTAATTATACTGCAACCCTTAGCTACATCGAGTTCTGTTCATAAAGAAGAAAGAGTAAATGCAGCATTTACTCTTGCACTCCAGCCTGTGCAAAAGAGTGAAACCTTGTCTCACACACACACACCAACCAAAGAGTAAAAGTAAAAAAACAAACAAACCAACAAAAAACAGACAAAAAATAGAAACGTGACTCAGTTTTAAATAAAAACAATTAAAAGTCTAAGTGGACAAAAGAGTGTAGTGTCTAAGAAAAAAGTTAGGCTTATTTCCTAACTGTGCTACATTGTAACAGTATCTTCCATATTCGCAGGCTGAATTCATTTGAGTTGCCGTGAGGTAGAGAAATAAAACCTGGACCAGTAGTCAGGAGAAAGAGGTTCCACTCTCAAATCTGCTGCATTGTTACTTGAAGTGAATTTACCTTTCTGAATTCCAGACTGAATTAATGATTTTCAAATTTTTCTTAAAGCTGTGAAACACTTTGTTCGAACAGAGGCCACCTGTAAAATACCCAGCACTACTTGGGTTGAAGTTGGATGTGGTGATAGTAGATCAGAAATCCTACTTGGCTAACTGGGCACAGTGACTCATGCCTGTAATCCTAGCACTTTGGGAGGCTGAGGTGGGTGGATCACTTGACGTCAGGAGTTCGAGACCAGCCTGGCCAACAGGTGAAACACCGTCTCTATAAAAATAGAAAAATTAGCCAGGTGTGGTGGCTCACACCTGTAATCTCAGCTACTGAGGAGGCTGAGGCAAGAGAGTCGCTTGAACCGGGGAGGCAGAGGTTACAGTGAGCTAAGATTGTACCACCGCACTCCAGCCTGGACGACAGAGTGAGACTGTTTCAAACAATAACAACAGCAGCAACGAAGAAATCCTACATGGTTTCTGAGCCTTTTCCTGACTTTAACATTCCACATGTCATCATTAAGGCGAGACCAAACCCTAGCTGCCCTAAGAAACCATGTGGTACCACTTGGAGTACATCTAGGCATTATTAAATGTACTTTTTAAAACACTGTCTTTTATTTTGTTCAACAAATGAATTACATTTCCCTTTTCTTTCTGTTACTTATCTTTAATAGTCTCCGTTTTGTAAAACTTCTTACCACATTCTTTTCAAACTCTGGAAATAGTGTGTGGCTCCTGGGAAATTCTCAGAGGTTTAAATTTTTGCATTTTCCCCAAAATTTGTTTGGCTTCCTACATGGATTTTTTTTTTAAACCCTCTGCCCAATACTTAAATCACATTTACAACATCATGCATAGCTCATGGGGGAGAATAGTAATGTTTTTGCTTCAAAGGTCATCATAACAGGAGGTCAGTGAAAAATCAAACATGACTTTAAAAACATAAGGGCAGAAAGACACCCACAAAACTGGGCATGTGGATTGAGTGCTAGATGGGTGGTCAACCCAACCCAGACACTCCAGCAGTAGTCCAACCACATAACAGACCGGAAAACTCTAAAGTTGCTAACTAAGAAGCTGGTTTTATTTTATTTAATTTTTTTCAAGAATTCTATTTCTGGTCACTGCTATCAAGAGGTAGAAAATGTGCTGATTTCTTGTGTTACTTCATATTGGTCTTTTATGTAAGGTGTTTTTATGAAGATATAAAATGCATTTACACTTTGGGGTTTTATGAACCTAGAATAATACTCAATAACTCAGCATTTTCTTGGTGTACCAATTGAAATAATCAAAAATAACCTTTAATTTTTGCATAATACATGTTTATAAGTTAAAATAAAAATTTTAATGAGCTAGTAGTTCACATAGTTTCGTTAGTTTAATTTTTACTATTCTGAATAGAATCTCAGACTTATAAAATCTTATCACTTTAACGTTGCCTGTAAATTCAAGATTCAATGAAGTATTTTCTTTGTGTTGGAAATCAAAGTTTTGGAGTTAATCATATTTTAAACAATGAAATTTATAAAGTGTATGAATTGCTGAACTTTTTATATCCGTTCACATCAGAACATGTGGCAGGATGACAGTCTGGTTTTTGATCATTAAATTAAAAAACCCAAATATTTGTTTAGTTATTGTAGCCTATTATTTGGAATATTTGATACTCACGTCCATATATTTATTTTGGTTGTTCACCTTTAAGATAGAGACAGTTCTTCTTTCACATGCAAAAAGAGTATGGGATAAAAAATGTCCTTTACCGTATGAGTTCATGTCTGTGTAGGGACATAGATGAAGCTAGAAACCATCATTCTGAGCAAACTATCGCAAGGAAAGAAAACCAAACACTGCGTGTTCTCACTCATAGGTGGGAACTGAACAATGAGAACAGTTGGACACAGGGTGGGGAACATCACACACCGGGGCCTGTCGTGGGGTTGGGGAGTGGGGAGGGATAACATTAGGAGAAATACCTAATGTAAATGACAAGTTAACGGGCACAGCACACCAACATGGCACATGTATACATATGTAACATACCTGCATGTTGTGCACATGTACCCTACAACTTAAAATATAAAATATAATAAAATAAGAAAAAAAGTCCTTTACTTTGTTTTTGTTAATTGAGTTATAATTGAATATCTCTAGCTTAGATCTTTTCCCTTATTTCCAGACACAGACATATATAGTAACTCCTTGGCATATGAAATGGAATTATTATTAGAGAAACATGAATAATCCAAATATTCACTTATCAAAATAATTTTACTGTAAGAAATTATGGCAAAGGACTTTGTAACATAGTTTTCAAAGCTGTGTGGCTTCCTGTTAGTTTTCTATATGTTAACAGACTGAACCAAAACACCAAGGACCACAGTCCTCCACTCCTGGGTACCCCTAGAAGAGAAGATTGACCCCCACTCCTCCTGTTCTTATCTTCTTGGTATGCCCTGTGGAGTGCTGGCCAATAAACATAGCCGGGGGAAGGATTTCTCTGGCTTTTTTTCTTTCTCCCACCAGATTTCCCAGTAAGCAAGACAACTAGAACACAGTTGGTTTTTTGTTTGTTTGTTTGTTTTTGTTTTGTTTTGCTGTGATTCAAGGCTAAATCAAAGTGATTAAAATTCAAAAAGCAAATTTTGCAATGTGGAAAATTCAAGGATAGCCAACTATTTCAAAACTACAAAACTACAAGTCTAGAGTTAGCAGTAGCTTACAGTGCTACTGGCTAGTTTACTATGTCTGCAGACCGTGCAGTGAGAGTGTGCCGTCCATACTGAAATGTATGCTGTTTCGAGGGCTGCAAGGGTAAACTGTATACCATATAAACCAAGAAGTGTGCTCAGGTCAACTTTCTAGCAACTATCCCAGGTTACCCCAAACTGACCTCATCATATTCTCTCCTCAACAGATTCATTTTTTAGTATTCCCTATCTCACCTGGATTACTGTAGTAACCCTCTGGCTCCCCTGAGTCATTTACACTTTGGCCAGAATGGTTTTTCTCAAACACCAATCTGATGAAGCCACTCGCTAAAATGTCTGAAGTGGCTCTTGATTAATTTCAGGGTAAAAATCTAGACATGGCGTAAGAGGCTGTTGACCATCAGGGCCTGTCTTTTAGTCCAGCTTCTTTTCTCTCTATACCCCTGTGTACACCCAGCCTTCAGCTGCATCTAAAGCCTGGAGTTTTCTAAAAGCACCTTCAGGCCCATGCTTTCATGCTGTAGCATCTGTGGTTCCTGCTGCTTGGAATTCCCTTCTCCATTATTTGGCCTGTTACTCATCTTTGAAAGCTTATTTAAGCATGACCTTTTCTGGGAAGTTTCCTTGGGAAAGTTCCCTGGAGCCCTCTCATCCTCCAGCATCTTTTAACATAGCATTTACCTTGGGGATTTGTAATTGTGAATTCACCAGGGATATCTCTGAAAGCAATGGGTGCTCTTTGTATCTAAGTATTTACAATGTGTAGTTCAGTGCTTGACCCACAGTAGAAGCTCACTAAACAAATATTTGCTGAATGAGTGAATGGATGGTTAGAAACCATATGGCTTGGCTTGGAATGGGCTGTTCAGTAGTTCATCTCTTGGGGAATGTAGATTCAAGATCACAAAGTATATCCAGATGGACTAGATTTCTTGTTGTGTATGCAAGCCTTAAAAACTGAGGAGCCTAGCGTACGTAAACCAACTAAAATTGATCTCTGGGATAGATAAGCAGATCCTAAGAGTGTCCAGCTACTAGTGGTAGTAACAGTGGTCAGGTGAAGAACCATTAATTACTAAGATGTTTGTAAAAATGAAGATATGATTGTGATGCTAAGGAGAAATTAAATATTTCCCATTCAATTATATTTAGGAATAATACAAATTCTGAAAATAGTCTAAGTCTTTGCTTTTAAAAATTGATCAAGTTTGAGGCTGAGTGCAGCGGCTCAGGCCTGTTATCCCAGCACTTTGAAAGGCCGAGGCAGGTGGATTGCTTGAACTCAGGAGTTCGAGACCAGCCTGGGCAACATGGTGAAACCCCTCTCTACTAAAAATACAAAAATTAGCTGGGTGTGCTGGCATGCGCCTGTAGTCCCAGCTACTGTGGAAGCTGAGGCAGGAGGATCACTTGAACCTGG